TATTAGTGATCTAGATTCTGGTATAGTTGGTAAACTAGTTGAGGTCATGAATCAGGTGTATGGAAGGTGAATACACTATAAAAACCAAAAAGTAATGTTGACAATTTAGACAAAAGTCAAGATTGGACAAACACATGGCAGACGAGATTTAATGTAGACAAGCACAGTGTGTTACTGTATATTCATGCAGCAAAACCAAACTTTAAATGTAATTGGGAAATACCAAGCATGGAGATGTTGCTAATGAAAAACACTCAAGTGTTTATTTTGAAATATCACTTATTTCTGTAAGAAAATTGGCGACACAATAAAATCTACACTACCAAAACATCTTATTTGTACATCGACAAATGTTTTCAGAACCCACCTCTGACTTTTGTGAACTGGGACTCGCTGTACCCCAGGAGCTGGGTAAATGGCTGCCAAACTGGTACCTTTCTTAGTTTCCTGTTCCAGATTTGCTTATAAAATATTGGAAACCGGTCATCTTCTTTGTGCTTACTCATTACTAAAGATTTTGAAAATCTTCTGCACAAACCTAAATTTGGATTTTGGCAAAGAAAAAAAACAATCCATGTTTTGCCACATGCTGAAATCATTCCTTTGTGTAGTAATATTAACATGTCTTAGCAAATCATCTTACAAGCATTATATTAGCATTGAAATGGTATGTTTTGAGAGTCATACTGTACTCTGTTCAAATCAGCTGGTTTGTTGTGTGCAGTTTTATAAGCTTAGACTGTCTGTGCAGATTGTAATGCATTACTGTGAATCTTCTTGCCTTGGTCCTCGATGGTATGTTAATGCTAAATGTTCATTTTGTAAACATCTTTACGTCATATTGATCAAGGTATTTTTGATTACATGCAAAGCTTACATTCTTAGCAACTCTATTTGTAAGATAATACACACATCTGATGTAAAGTTCAGGATGTAAACTACTGTACATATAACTATCAACAAAGTCTGAACAAACTTTGCATTTGTATTATTTTTGCGCTCTCAAATACACTGTGACGAACCGTTTACAAAACTTCTGAAAAAATAAAAATGCATTTATAAAAAATGATTACCTTTATTTTCCTGTCTATATTTCCTTCTGCCCACCCTGTCATTCTTATATCTGTGCATCTTGTTATGTTTATCAATAGTTATTTCTATTATTTCAAATAGTTGGAATAATAACTATTTCAAAGAGTTGGTGTGGGGGAAATTTTACAGATATTTTGTGGCTATAAACAGTCATAAGGTCACGACATGAGGTTCCCTGGGAAAGGACAGGAAGAGAGGCTTATCAAAGCTGTGCATATCCAATACTGTTCATGATGTGACTGGTTGAAATACAGTATTCTACTGTAATTCATGCTTTGATAATCTATGGTAATCTCATTATTAATGTACTGTATCAATCACACAACCTATTGAATAAAACAAATTAAATAAGGTGACATACTGTATACACGATAGTTATCCATGCAGACAAATATTTAAGTCATTCCAGGTTATAAAAAAAGGTTATGGTTTTATGGTTGATCTGTATTCCCCAGCTTTAATGAACAATGCAAATCATGTCCATATATTTTAGGCAGATCTGTAGAAAGCTATCATGATATGCGATTATAACATTTCTGACTGAGAAAGTCAGTTGAGATGTCAGGCTTAAGGCCTCTTAAACTGTTGTTTGTTAGACTAATTAGAATAGGTATGAGTTAAATTATAACTTACAATACTTACTCATTAAATTATATAATATGACAAGGTTTCTAGGCAAATGAATTGTTCTTTCATGGTGAATAAAGATAGCCAATGAGACTATGCAAATGGGAATATTTACAGAGAAATTAAGCATGAAAACCTTTGGCTGAAGAAATCGGACTAGGAAGTTCAGACTCCCAAGCAGAGGGAAGTTAACAGGTGGAGACGAGCTGGAAAAGAGATGCGGAAAGATAAATGCAAGGAATAGAGAGAGGCTCACTGGTATTGATAGCTTTTCTGGAAGTCATGTCATGGAAGATTCCGAGTTAAACTTGGTTGCCATCATCCCTCCCCAATTTTCTTTATTTCTTTATTCGTTATGATCTATTATCTTATGGTATGCATAGAGTTTTTGAGATGCTTTTTTCCCAACTAAACTGTTGAAAATACACCATTAATCCTGAAATTACAGTGTGTTAAATGAGAAGGCGCACAAGTCATTGACACAATTGTAACCTGTAGAAATGAACCATGCCTACCTTGGAACGTCACAAAGTTAATCAATTATCTCAGGGCGTTTCGCTCATTATGAGCTATTATCAGTTTGCAGCATAAATGATTTGAAATGATAGCAGAATGGATGTTTAATATTATGCCCAGCTATAGAACACAGCTGAATGTTTTGTAGTTTTTTTGTCGTGGTGAATGCCTGTTCTGTTACTAGCTTATTTAGATCTTGACTGTAGTGTCAAGTCTCAAACTTTCTTTTCAGGTGAAAAGCTGCAACATCAGTCTCTTTAATGTAAAAAGAAAATCAAATCAAAAGCATTTTTTCTTACTCATTATTAGACACTGAGATATGTTGTTGTTTGCAATGATGTACATCCCCAGAAACCAGAAAAATTTGAAGTCATTCATTACATTAATAATATGTTTCACACTTGGCTACAATTATTTTGCAGATTTTGCTTGATTTATGACAAATTTGCAGACAGCCGGAGCTCATCTCCTCGCTCACCTTCAGAGAGCTTCCAGGCAGTTTGCATCACCTGTCAGTCCTAAAGATGAAAAGAAAACACTCCACTCTAAGCAGATAAATTGAACATTAGATCTCATAAACAATCTGGAGTTCTTCCAACCCTGAAGATCAGAAAAATAAATTCTTATTTCACCTGACATGTCTACTTGATTTGATTAAACAATGTTGCAGCTTACATTCAACGGTGCTTTGAATGCTAAACATACTAGCTTAACTAATGTATGCAAGTAAAAAATAAGTACAGATACGTGACAAAACTGGACAAAGTCAGTTATGCAGGGAAGGGCATTTTTGCTTGAGCAGCAACTAGCAAAGCCCTGTTCAGTGTAATAACCAGAGCAGTAAATTTTATGTTTTAATGACTCCCTATGATAGCCATTGAACCTTATACTGCTTCAGGAATGAGAGCTTGTCCTTGTGAAAAACAGGACTCTTTTGTGTAAAAAACAGACTTGATGTTAGATCCCAGCTATCGTAAATAATCATAATAATTCTTGCATTTTTATAGTACCGCAAAGTAAAGTCACAAACTCATAATATTAAAATGATCACAGGAGCATTTAATAGAGTTTTAATTTCAAGTTTAGTCTAGTCTTTTTCTTTGAGCTTCTAGACTCATTTCACCATTTATGAAAGCAATGGTGATAATATCTAAAATTATAGCCGATTTCAAAAGACATAATGGGACTTTATTATTGGCTTATTTGGGTCAGTTCTACAAGAGTGGGAAATTTCATGAAAAATGTAATTGGCTTTGACATACAGTACAGTACATAGACCAGTATATACTGTACAAATGTTGATGAATGTGCATGTAAAACAAAGAGACAAAATTAAGAAGGGTGGCATTTCTCTGGATCCTTGGGTTCAATTCCAGACTTGGGGTGTTACTGTATCTGCATGGAATTTTTATGTTCTCCCCATGTTCATGTGGGTTTCCTCCCACAGACCAAAGACACGCTGCTAGATTAATTTACTTCTTAGGAAACTGGTGGGTGGGTGTGCGTGCCTTGTGGTGGACTGGTGTCCTATCCAGGGTGTACCCTGCGTTGTACCTGTTGCTCGCAAAAAAAATCTGTCAACATTCTGAAGCGTTGTGTGAAAAAGTATGTGCTGCCATATCAGTTAAGAGGGTAATTAGATTCAGTTACTGCTAAACAAACGACATGATTAATTGATTATCAGGACGTGCTTCCACCTGTATACAAAATCAGAATCTGTCAGTATGTTAGGCTACTGAATGTTGACTGATTTGTTTGTTTAATA